ATATTTTCCTGCTAGATGGCCAAGACCTAGTGTTTTGGCAGTAGTTTGATGCGCAAATGTATGACGTCACCATTTCAACCATCAACAAATGCATGGAACTAAAACAAAGCTTAATATAAAGGAAAAACTAGATGTGACGGAATTACCCACGATGTTGGAATATACCGCGTTTACCCTATACTTCAATCAGTTCAATGCTCCCACCTCTTGCCAAAATAACATGCAGAATATAATAACAAGTCAACTCAAAACATTTCCTCCATGAAGATTGCATAGTTGCAGACTTGCAGTTACGTCAGAATGGTGAATGGTCAATGGTCAAACTACTGCATTATCACTTGTACAGTTGCCAGCTTGCCGCTTATGTGAAGACAAATGCTAGTGACTGTTTTTTGTATGGGACTTTGTAAATAACATTAGTCTTTATATGCATGGCATGGGACTGATGGGAGTGAACCGAGTAATGAGATTTTGTGAATAACAAGTTCACGGATCATAAATGGCTTTTCGCGGCCAAGATATGGAATTCGCGGCTCAAAGAAATGGAATCAGAGCTGACAAACCCATGAAGCCACGGCTCAAAAAATGTAGTTACGGCTTGCCAAGTAGATATATGTTCCATGCCTGCATCATTGCATGCAATGATGCAGGTGGCGGCCCGTGCTCCGTGGGTGTGGCAGCTGTAGTGTACCTATAGATCATACCAATGGTAACCAGGCATAGTGGCAAAGCAGTCTAGCAGATAGTTTTTTTAGACTCTTCATCAAGCTCTGTTAAGATCAACAATGTTTTTCCAACAAATCTTATACCGTAACAATCTTATTCATACCTAAATATTCAAAATGAACTATTTGGTCATTTTGAGCTAATTTGAGCTGGTTTTGAGGACACCATTCATTTAATTACTAAAGTTTTGTTTTCACAAACTTATTCATTCATGAAATGTTTTTGAAATAATAGTTAAATTTTCTTTCACATATGTAATAGGGATTCATAAATTACCAACCAAAGGGTAATTTAAATCATTTATTGCCATTGAATTAGGAATTAATGGACCATTAGGGACAACAATGGAATGGTTCTATGAATGTTTGATTGATATAACAACATCAAATATTGGTTTGGTCATTTCTTATTTAAATTACAATTACTTTGTGTAATGTTTACTGGTCTAGGTGCTGAAGTCTGTTCCTATAAATTGTGAAACATTCAGCAATAATATTGTTGATATTCATAACTGATCAATAATTTTGCACCATATTTATAAAAATCATCAATATCATTTATCAAATTATAAATTTTATATACTTCTATATGAGTTTTGTGTATAAATTCTGAGAGTCTCAACACTAGCAAATTTCAATAATGCCTAAATTTGAATAACATCTAATTTTTATTTAAGGTCCATGGAGAGCATGCCCAAGTTCTCAAAATCGTTCCTCTCTAATTCATCAGAATGTACCATCAAACATGGTTATAAGGGAAATTTTCTTTAGTTTTTTGTTGATAACTTCTTATCATGAAACATTTCATAGACAAGTTTGGGCTCATTTCAAAGGTATTTGCAAGGGCTATGGTAAGGTATGTCAAAAAAATTCTTATGCTCTATGTAAGGTTCCAAAAGCCCCCCCCAAAAAATGTCCCAAATTGCCCCTGAGAATGGAGTAATTTGGGACACTTAATATGAAACTCTATTTTAATAAGCGGTGTTATGGCTTGTGAGTGTAGGTACTTAATCATTACTGACAGTACTCTGAAGTCCTCTTCTTCATAATTTGTAGATGATGTAAATGTAGAATAGATGATATTTTTGGTGATTTGTACGTACTTGTTTTTCCCCTATGGATGATATTACCATATCCATATTTCATCAATAAAAACTTTTTTTTGTTCTCTAGATATAACTTAAAAAAGTCCATGTCATTGTCAATGACCTTGTCTACTGCAAGCTTCGTATCAGCAGCCCTGTAGCATTTTGTCCGTAAGCTTGCAGGACTGGGCTTGTAATTTTTCACCATCATTATTGGGTCAAGTAAATTAATTCAGTATAACAAAGAAAATAAGATTGTAAAAAACGTACCTGGAACAGAAAGGAATATATATCTTTTAAGTGACAACCGTCATATTTTTTGGACAAATAAATTATAGTTAAGGTTAATTTTTTCATTCCATATTGCTCTATGCACAATTCTATCTATGTCATTCTTTGAACAATTATGTAATGACTGATGATGCACTAATTTTTTGTTAAGTGCAATTTTTATTGCTTAGAGAGGTAAATTTAATCAAAATTTTTTGTCATTAACTGATTTTTTGTTGACTGTAGCCTTTGCAAACCAAGGTTCTGCCGTAAATGTGTTTTTAGGGGTATCCTGTATTACCCTGGGGGGTGTCCCAGCCATTGTTTTGGATTGACGTATGCAAGTTCTGTCAATAAACTTCTAAAGCCAACACCTGTCTACAAGTTTTTCTTGGGCAAAATATTTTATTATGGCAATTTTTTTTACTACAGACCATAGCAAGTACTTTTCTAAATAGCATTCTTTAACATTTTTTCAGGGAATTTTTAGAGCTAGTAAATTTAAGAATTTAGAACTTATGCTACATAGATAGGAAATATGTTAAAATTTATGCCACTAGTTTTCGTTTTGGAATATTTTAAATAGTTTTGGTGCTATAACAGTTTTACGCTATTATGGAAGACTGTCCTGATTTACCCCGCCAGTCCCTTATTACCCATCTGACGGTAGTAGTAATTTTTGCTTATAAGGGATGAACATTTTCTAAATCACACGGGATGTTCAAAAACTGACAATGGGAGACAAAATCATTCAGGATGTGAAGTGAAGTCAGTAAGACAATATCAATAAAATTGTGCAAGAACATGAAAAAATTCATACCTTCTTTCATACAATCAAAATTCATACAATCTTTAAACCAGTTTCTATCATTTAAATCTCACTGTGAATCAAATTATTTATTTTGAAATTCAATTTGACATTACCAAAACAGGGAGTGGGACATCTTCACTCTTCATTCCATGTGTTTACTGCCATTATGATGTGCCATATGTCATGAAAGAATCAGAAATTATCTCATCATTTTGTGTTGTACCATAAACTTTGTTGGTATTATTGAAATTGTGAGAATTTCAGCAGTATTTGAAATACTTCTTTTTTCTATTTTAAAAAATTTTCATTGCAAAAATGTTTCATTTACTGAAAAACGACCAGTGAAGATTATGGAGAATGGCGCTCCGAGATCCACGGCGTCAACAAATTGCTTGACATCAGAATAGCAGCAGCCTCTCACAAGCGCAGTGAACATTGAGCCTTATTGGTGTTAAATGTAACATGGTAGGCCTTGCAAACCATTTTGATTTTGTTATATAAGTGAGAATATATTAAATAGGTATAAAAAATTCCATGCTGCTCATGGGGAAAGGCAGTAATGGAAAATTGAGCACTCGCCCATAAATTAGACTGAAAAATTGAAGGTAAAAACTACTGTTTCATGGGTGATTTTTGAAAATTTTAGGTTAAAATAGGCCTTTTTTCTTATTTTTTACTGAAGAAATTGAGGAAAGGCCTTGGGTCATAGAAACAGGAAAAATTTGCTAGATTCAAGGGCATTTTAGTAAGATTCCCAGGTAGCTTCTACCCAATTTTCCACTTTGTTTCACCAATGATTTTTCAAAATCACCCATGAAATGATCATTTCCACCTGCAGTTTTAAGAAACTCCTCTCTAATATTCCGAACTTACCTTACCTATATAGTGGCAAAGAAGAACATTTTTTGTTGTTGGCCCCTCTTCAAGTTCATATTGAGTCCTATAAGTAGATTCGAAGCAGAAGCAAAAATCTATCCTTAGTTTGGCTGCCTTCTTTTTAGCGCACTTGCAAAGGAAAAGTGGATACAATATTTTCTTCTCTTCTACCAATCTGGAGTATTAGGCAACATTTCCTAAAATTTGAGAATAAAAATTATTGTTTCATGATGTGCTCAAAAAATACAATGGTCAGCAAGAACTTGAAAAATCATTTGCTAGCACTTTTATTGGGCCTAAAGGTGTTGACACACATCTCTCCCTCACTCCTCTTACACTGTCCCACTATGCAGAATTTGGCAATTGCGTCACCAATGTCAGCTTTTTATGTCCTTGATGTCAGCAGTATTATTGAGAATTTGTAATTGATATAATGCCCTTTTATAAATATATTTTTTATTGATATAATTATCCTGGTTTTTATGCCCTTGATGTCACCAGTATTATTGATAATTTGTTGCAAGAACTCCCTACCACTTCAAACTTTCTTGCCAGAGTACGTGAAAAGATTTGTTTGAAGAGAAATGTGTTGGCAAGTTCTTCTCAAGATACAGATTTAAATGCTACTGTCATATATGATCATCAGATATTTGCTCTCTCTCTGCACTGTGGAACATCTCTGTCTCCAAATGTCCAACTCTATATCACTATATTCAGCTTAAATGGTTTTATACATATAATGTACCTACATATTTTTCGTGCATCTTCTCATTTACGGAAAAAAAGGCGCTATCGTGCTTGCCATGTCCGTCAGTCCATCTGTTCGTCTGTCTTTCCGTGACTTCATGTTTTTGTTGACAAGAAAATGCGCTTTCTGTCACTCACTACAGTGAGTACCGTCAACTGGGGTGACTTTGGCCAACGTTTATTATTTTGTTTTGCTGCCATTTGTTTCTGTTGTTGGTGTGGCCAATGTCACCTCCGGTGGCTGAAGTCACTCCAGTTGACAGTATTGAGTTATATTTTTTACTTATCTCTAATACTTTTCATTTACAATTTTGCTAGCATTTGGGGAAACAATTTTTATTGACCCAGTCATACAAATTTCCTATTGTAACTGCCAGTTCCTAGTGACCATTTCACACAAAGCTACAAACCATATCTGTGTATTCTGCCTTGTTCCTTTTATATACATACGAGTGTCAATTAAAATCACTGTTTCCCATAGTTCAGGTCTCAGGAACTTATTCCTCTTATAATTCCAAATGACTTATGGCAATAATGATTACTTTATCATCAATAAGTATTTAAAAATGTGTTAAAAATAGTGTTAAAATCAAAATAAATGAAGGCAAATCATGGAATCGACTGAGAATCTAAAGTGACTGAAATAACTTGGGTGAGTGATCTGGTTTAGTTTTGATATCAATATGTTAAATTTGTGCATTGGTTGAACTAATAATTGTGTATTTCAATTGAGTGGTTAAGATCTTGCAAAAGTTTAGCTTTTAATAGCTCCAGCCCACATAATTTTAGCCTGTTGTCCTGTTAAGCTTCAGCCAAATGGAATATATACTGAATGTGTTTTTTGTATAAAACATTTTTAATCATGCTTTGTTATATACAGAACCATCCTATAGGTATACACAGCTCTATATATGCAGCCCTCCTATATACACAGCCCTCCTATTTACACAGCCCTCCTGTATACACAGCCCTGCTATATACACAGCCCTCCTATATACACAGCCCTGCTATATACACAGCCCTTCTGTATACTACACAGCCCTCTGTCTTCACAGATGGCTCACCCTTATGGCTTAGCTCAACTGCCGCCATCTTACCCTGGATGTGGACCTGCCTGCCACATTTTTATTCCTGAGGTGAATTTGTAGTTCTAAATTTCGTCATAATGAAGTACCGTAAAATGGGGTAACTTAGACTACTTTTTATTTTAAATGATGCCATTTTTTACTAGCTAAATTAAACTTGAAATGAAATATGTAAAATACAGGTCTATACTCTAGCTTCACTCACCATAAATTGCTGGCTCCTGCCTCTCATAGTCTTTATGTAATTTAAAAAAAAGTGATGGTCTTTGTTACCCCAGCTCTTGGGGTAACTTAGACCGGGTGGTAAAATCAATTATATTTTTTGGTAAAATAAATCCAAATAACTCCAGGTTTTGGTGCATTGTAGTAGAACTCTTCTAGTTACATATGCAAATGACAAATTTGAGGAAAGTGTCATAGTTTGTAAATGGGGGGCACTGCCCCTGAATGGGGGAACTTAGACCACCTAATGTCAGCCCTGACGGGGTAACATAGACCGGCTTGGAAATTAATTTAAGATTACCATATATAACACTCTGTAGAGTCTGAAACAAAAAGAAAAAACATTAATAGGTGTATCAAACATGAAATATGTTATATATGGTAATTTTAAATTAATTTCCAAGCTGGTCTATTTTACCCCGTCAGGGCTGAGCCCTGGCTGACCTTAGGTGGTCAAAGTTCCCCATTTGGGGACGGCGCCCCCCACCTGCAAATTATGCCGCTTTCCTAAAATTTGTCATTTGCATATGTAACTAGAAGAGTTCTACTACAATGCACCAAAACCTGGAGTTATTTTACCAAAAAATGAAAAAATTGGAGGGGGTTCTATGACAGGCTTTAAATAATAGCTCTTTTTCATGGGTAACATTTTTCATTTTTAACCTATTAGATATGCAAACTTTTTTAATCTTTCTATTGTGTTACATAGCCTCAGTATTAGGCCTTTAATACCCATTGACAACATTTTTTTATGTCAAATAGTTTTTGAGTTTTGGGGGTTTTTGTTAAAAAACTAAAAGTGGTCTAAGTTACCCCGTAAGTCTAAGTAACCCTCTTTTATGGTATTTCTCTTTATATTGAACAAAATTATTAAACTAAAGTTTACCATTATATTGTTAATACATAACCAATCAATATAGAAGATAAATCTAATGCTGGTATATTAACTAGTTAATCTTAATGTTGATAAGTGACTACATCTTGTCACTTCAAATCTCTTCCAGGGCCCATACTTTCAAAAAAAGTTAAGAGATCGTAAGTTCATCAGCCGATCATTGACGGCCTTTCAAGCAAAATCCACCAATCATAGACAAGAAAATAGAGCGTAAGAGCGTAAGTACTTACGTTCACTTAATCATAGACAAGAAAATAGAGCGTAAGTACTTACGTTCACTTAGCCAGTTTTGAAAGTATGGCCCCTGAGCCCCACTTTGTGCTGGAGGCTACTTTATCTTGCCTCCGCTAACCAACAATTATTTGATTTGTTCTGTACACAGCATTTCACTGCTTACCATGCACAATAAGTACTATGATACAATCATTTCAATTACCGGTACCTTACTTTTTTACTATTTCCACCATTTTGTAAATAACAGAAGTAGCAATAACTTTCAATGAATTTATTTTACTAGGTTAAATTTGTATGAATTGATGTTAGAAAGTTACTCTTTATATTATATTGGTTGAATTTAAATTGAAGTTAGAAAGTTAATTTTTATATTGTAATGGTTGTATTTAAATCATACTAAATTTTTTCTCAGTAATGACTGCATTTGATAGATTCTTTAACTGTTAATTAGTCCTTCACTTTCATTATGTCATATTTAGGAAAATACTCATGATTAAATATATCATATATACATATAAGGTATGTGTAGATATGTGTACAATTAATGACCAGAGAATGCATTATGATTTTCAAGGAGTGAAACAATTCTTCAGATGACTTTAGTAGATCAAAAGGCAGATTTAGCATATAATAATAATATATTAACAACCTTTCGAATGTAGCAACATCCATTTACATTACATATATAACTGTATGCATGTGAACAAGAAAATTCTGCCATCTTATAATAATATGTGTCTTATAATAATATAATATATCTTATCTTATATATCTTATAATATCTTATAATATATCATCTTATAATAATATATATTATTTTTATTCATGCTTTCTCATAATGGTTTCAGAAACTTTAATTTCTGAATATTTTAATGCTTACCTACCGAAGGACCATGAAAAAATATCCATTATTTAATATTAGACCATAACAAAATTATTATTTGGCATTATTATAACTAAATTGATTAAAAATATTTATATCGTATTATTTATGAAGAATAGGTATTATTATTAATTATCTGTATGAATAAGACCATTTTTTTTCAGGAGAGATCCAGCGCCCAGTTGCCAGAGGTGTGACGACTGAGGGACATGGAACACAACTTGCCTGACCATTTCCTCAGTCAGGTGAGCCTCAACGTGACTTGGTCAACTTGCCTGACCATTTCCTCAGTCAGGTGAGCCTCAACATGACTTGGTCAACTTGCCTGACCATTTCCTCAGTCAGGTGAGCCTCAACGTGACTTGGTCAACTTGCCTGACCATTTCCTCAGTCAGGTGGGGCCTCAACGTGACTTGGTCAACTTGCCTGACCATTTCCTATTATTAACCTATTATTATTATAGTATTATTGACCAGTTCCTATATTATTGTATTATATATAATCTATATAATAATCTATATAGATTATAGTCTATATCTATAGATTATATATGATGTATATAATACTCCTAGTGATATAACTTCTGGTATTTGCTTACCAGAAGTTATCGCCAGAATAAATAAATTTTGCATGATTATAATAAATATATTTAATTTTAATGAAATACATATAGGTGCAATAGGTTAAATACCATGTCGCTACATTGCAGGCTGGGCCTCAGGAAGCTATTGCATCAGCTGAGATGGCCTCCTTCTTGTGCAAGAGTGAAGTGGACGACCAACAAACTACCATCATCGACCATCAGACCACCACCCTAGACCACCAGACCACCACCCTCGACCACCAGACCACCACCCTCGACCACCAGACCACCACCCTCGACCATCAGACCACCACCCTCGACCACCAGACCACCACCCTCGACCACCAGACCACCACCCTCGACCATCAGACCGCAGACCCCAAAACTTCTCTCCAAGATTGTCGTCCGGTTGACATTATTCACTGTGACAACTTTTTTGCTTTTTCGAGCCAAAGCGATCCGTCGTATGCCATCCCTGACGCCATCGAGGACCTCAAGGATCCCAAACTGCCTGTTGATGCTGACGATAAAGAATTAGTCAGGAGTGTTGTGAATCCCAACAGGTTGATGAATCATGAGGATTCTCGCGAGGGTAACCACCACAGCCCAACGTTCGTTTACTACGCAGGAAGTGTTCTGAAGTGTCCGCTCTGTGACCACTCTTGTCTGCAAGACCAGGAACTGTCTCTGCATTTCTCATCTCTACACTCAGACAAGAAACTGCATCGTTGTTCCATGTGCAGCTATGCTACGGCTGACAAGCGTTCGCTGACACTGCACTCAGCTGCCAAGCACTCGACCGTACGGCCCTACAAGTGTCAGCTATGCGAGTACGCGACGGCTGTCAAGCGCAACCTAACCGTGCACGTGACAGCCAAACACTCCGGCGAGAAGCCATACAAGTGTCCGGCTTGTGAGTACTGCACGGCATATAAACATGACGTCACACTTCACTTCGCTTCAAAGCACTCAGGGGAGAAGATGCACAAATGTCCGCAATGCGAATACGCTTCAGCATACAAAGGCTCTGTGATCTCACACTTCGCAGCCAAACACTCGAACGCGCGGCCGTTCAAGTGTTCTTTGTGTGGGTACACGACAGCTGTGAAGCGCAACCTTACAGTACACGTCACTGCTAAACATTCTGGTGATAAACACCACCAGTGCTCAGACTGTCACTACTCGACGCCTAACAAACATGACTTAACTTTACATTTCGCATCGAAACATTCGGGAGAAAAACTACACAAATGTTCCCACTGTGATTACGCCTCGGCCTATAAAGGCTCGCTGGCCTCGCACATCGCTGCCAAACATTCTGACAGCAAACCTCATGTTTGCTTTTACTGTGGATACTCAACAGCTGTTAAACGGAATCTCACCGTACATTTGGCAGCCAAACATTCAGTGGACAAGAGCCACAAGTGCTCTGAGTGTGCGTACTCTACGGCCAACAAACACGACCTCACTCTGCACTTTGCCTCCAGACACTCGGGGGAGAAGAGCCATAAATGCCCGCATTGTGACTATGCCTCTGCCTATAAAGGATCTCTAGCGTCCCACATCGCAGCCAAACATTCAGAGAAGAAACATCTGGCGTGTACGCAGTGCGGGTACTGTACTCTACCGCTGTGACTACTCCACCGTCTTCCGGCGAGACCTCAACAATCATTTCTCCTCCAGACATTCCACTCCAAACTTTCAATGATTCTTACGAGTTTTATTCAATGTTTATTACTGTATTTACCGAGCAATATCTTTCTTGCATTTGTCACTCCCTTTAATATTTTTGATGTCGGTAGTGGATTTTGGCAGCAATGTTAGGCTGCACTGTACATTTCGTCACATAACTAATACTCATGTTAGCTACCCTGCTGTACATTGATATGATCTCTATGTATAATAAGAATCTTAAAGAGTATAATTAGGATCTCTATAGATAATAAGAATCTGTAGATATAATTAGGATCTCTATGTATAATAAGAATCTTAATGAGTATAATTAGGATCTCTATAGATAATAAGAATCTGTAGATATAATTAGGATCTCTATGTATAATAAGATTCTGTAGATATAATTAGGATCTCTATGTATTATAAGAATCTGTAGATATAATTAGGATCTCTATGTATAATAAGAATCTGTAGAGTATAATTAGGATCTCTATGTTTAATAAGAATCTGTAGATATAATTAGGATCTCTATGTATAATTATGTTGATCAAGTTCATTCATGTCAGCATCGTCTGATAAATTCGTAATTTAAAAATTCATCTCAGGGATTTTCTTCTAGCTGATATCAATTTCACCCTACCAAAAATGTAACTTTTTTATGTAATTCAAATTCGCTAAGATATCAGAAAGTTTCATCAGTAGAACCGCAGCGTTCAAAATACTAAAACTGATCTACGTAAAGTTTACAATTGGACGAATTTAAAGATCCACGTCAAGTTTGGATGAATTTCTGCTCAACTTCGTTGATATTTCCTCGTTGAAGATTGTAATTAAACTTGCAAAATTGTTTGTCTCACGTGGCTCTCTCAATGAGCCTAACAATGAGCTAATTAATGAACTCTATTGTAAGTATAATGATAAGCTATATATTGAACTCTATTGTAAGTGTGATTATACTCGGCGGCTATTGTAAGTATAATCTATTATAATAAGTATAATATTGTAAGTATAATCTAGTATAAATGTAAATGATAATATATAGTTGTGATATGATATCTAGATCATATCACATGATATGATATCTAGTGATATGATATCTAGATTTTATACTAGATATAATGATATCTAGTATAAATGTAAGTATAATCTAAGTATAATCTATTGTAAGTATAATTATACTCTGCGGCTGTTGAGAGACAAATAATTAACTTAGATGAAGTGCTGCCTGGCTTACCTGTCCAGCTGACTCGTTACTAGTCAAGGCATTCGTGCGAGAGTAAGTAAATAAAGTTGTGTAATAACAGTAAATACTATGTTATATATTATATATTCCCTATGTAGCGAGAGTAAATATTGTGTTCTAGACTCATTATTCCTTATGTAGGAAGAGTAAATATTGTGTTCTGGACTCAATATTCCTTATGTAGGGAGAGTAAATATTGTGTTCTAGACTCATTATTCCTTATGTAGGGAGAGTAAATATTGTGTTCTAGACTCAATATTCCTTATGTAGGGAGAGTAAATATTGTGTTCTAGACTCANGGCAGAGAGGTAGTGGTCCTGTCACCCCAGCAGTAGACGTGGGGCAGAGAGGTAGTGGTCCTGTCACCCCAGCAGTAGACGTGGGGCAGAGAGGTAGTGGTCCTGTCACTCCAGCAGTAGACGTGGGGCAGAGAGGTAGTGATCCTGTCACCCCAGCAGCAGACGTGTGCGTATCTAAGCATACAATGCTGTAGAATATGGGTGCCTTTTGTCATTCAGTTTATTGACCATATGAGAAGAGCGCGGGTGGTTATTGATGTCAACCGATAAAAATTACAATATACCTGGGAATGCTTTTTTTATTTATACAGGGTGACCCAGTGGATACAGTTCAAGTACCAAGATTGGCGCAGAGAGGCGCGGGTTCGATCACAGCTCTGTGCGCCAGTTTCTGGTCAGAATCGGCGAGGAGGCCGGGCGGTTAAGAACAGCAGAATTGTAGCAGTGAGTTGCGAGTTCGAGACCGCAAAATGCTGTGAATGTTCTGCGATGTTAAGAATCGGCGACAGGCCTTCGGCCTGATAAACGCTGAAACCGCTATTATTATTATATCAGGTTTTGTGGTGGTTGAGCATAGCACGATACTCTACGATAGATTTCAAATCAGTTTCATTGAGAGAAAATTAGTTATGTTCTATTACAAACGAGCCACAGGTGACAATGATAACAGACGTACCGGAAATTGTAATCAAGTTTACAAAACCTGCGACTCCCTGTATACCGACAAGAAAGTAGACATTATGGGTTCACTATTAGACCTTTTGGACAATACTTGGAATCGAATCAGTCAAATCTATCATTATTGTTAGGAATTTTGTTCGTGCAGATTAAATTTTATAATGGTTGAACTAGTATATATAGTTCAACCATGACATTTTACTATTGGGACGCAGAGGCGTCAATCATTTCTACGACCCACTGGATCTCGAAACTCTAGGACGTTCGCTGACGTTGATGCGTTTGCGCTAGCGCGGGTAGCGCCGCCAGCAGTGCACTGTCTGAACCCGCGTCCGGACGGGCCGGGACGTGAGGCGAGTGGTGAAGAATCTAGTACTCAGAAAGTGGAGTTTTTTATTAGTGGACAAAAGAAGAAATGCACTGAACCATTGCGCAGCATCACTGCACATGCACTGGAATCCTCCAAATCAAATATACAAAATTTGAGCAGTATGCAGGTTGAATTCTTTCAGGAACTTGGCAAATGACAAAACTCAAGGCCTTCTGCTTAAGACTCACCTACTGCAATCGATCTGAAATAAGGCGGAGTGGGGGCGCTAATACCTACGTCGGTGCTGCGCCGTATCTTAACAAAAAAAAACAAACAAAACTCAAGTAAGCACTCAAGTGACTCAACAATCGTAATTCGTAAGCTGTGCCCCTGCCGCTGAACTCAGGGACCACAGGGGTCCCCCCGCTCCCCCGGTCCAGGGGCAGGGAAACGTGAGGCGGATCTAACCGTAAGTGTTTCATTTATAGGCTTTTTCATCCTCCTTCAGTTCAGACTTCAGACTCTTTATATTTTTCCATTCTGATTTGTGATTTGAGATAATTTATGTAGGATTTTTCAAACGTTCAAACCTATTTGCCAAAAAAGTACTTTGCTTACCTACGTAGCCTATGTCTCATTGTCTGGACTCTGGACTGGAGTGGACAGTGGACACTGACCATCTCATAGACTCTATTAACTATTAATGAATGAGAATTTGAAGTATTGATGCAGTTGTTATATTTTATTTGAATGTACTACTACAACTACACATACAGGCTAGGTACCTAGTCACACTCTTGGCTCAACCTCAGCTAGCCTGAGCTAGGCTATCAGCACTTGGCAGACGTTAGCGTTAGCCTACTGCACTTGACCTGCCATTTTTAAACAAAAACTATGTATGTAATACAGCAACATGGGCCAGATCTTTAATTTCTATTATTCAGTTTATGAATTGCCGATTTGCCAGTTTCCACTTTATAAGGAATAAGGATAAAGCTTGAGTATGTAGAATGTACCTAGTGAGCTAGTCAGTGCCCAGTGGCCTGTGGCATCATTACTGGCATGGAATATAGTCTTTTTAGTTGTAAATAAATCTTCTTTCAAGTCTTTGCCATTTTTCATTTTTGGAACTACAAGACTAACGTAGTTCATAACTTCATAATGGCATTAGTTAATTAATACAAAATTGGAAAAGTTATTTTCTTGCTAAAGTATATATTGTTTCATCAGAGCTCAAGAACTGGATATTTTGGGTTAGGTTAAATGCGGTATATTCCGACATCGTAGGTAATTTCGTCACTTCTCTAATTTTTCCTTTATATTAAGCTTTGTTTTAGTTCCATGCGTTCATTGATGGTTGAAATGGTGACGTCATACATTTGCGTGTCATAATTAAGTAGTGTTCAATATTCGTTAGTGTTCTAATTCAAAGCCGTGTTGTATCCCAATACAGCTCGCACAGCAAACGGAATTCGAATACGTTGATGTCGGCATTACGTATCAGTTAAATTTGAAGCTCTGACGCAATACGACTCGCCACGTGTTGAATATTGCCACACACAGTGACGGAATATAGGGATTTGGTAGGTTTCCATTCTAAAGGCTTTTTAATAAATATGGCAACATTTTGTGACGTTTCATCATTGCTGACGCTTTGTGAAGTGTTTTGAGAGTCACGTGAAGGCAACAGAACTTGCGTAACGCATACGTTTTTTTTTATAGTTTTTCATTTCTCGATGCGTCCTTAATGTGTCGGAATATACCGCGTTTACCCTAGGCTAATTCAAAAATTTAATTGCTAAATCAATCCAGCTATTTTATTACCCGCTATTTGCTTTGGCCTGTAAAAATGGGAATGGAACATGACTTGTATTAGTTGTGTATGAGAAATCATGCAGCTTCTGTCTGAGGTTGCAGTTACACTAAGTCACTATTACCCGCCAGTCCACCACTAACAATGGTGGAAAAAAAGTGGCCAAGCAGGCCAACACAGGATTGGAATTTTCCATCTTGTTTCTGAAATCTTGTGGCTGCACCGCTGCAGTATGACAAATTTTCAATACATTTGGAAACTCGTGGCCCGACTGCACTTTTGTTGACAATTAGATAGGAGGTAATTCATCTGGCGGATATCTCGCGGTCCGCCCGGTCGTGCATAGTGGCAAAGCAGAGAGTTTTTTAGACTCTCCTTCAAATTCACTTCTAAGTCTAGTCTCCAGAGCAGTCCTATAAGTAGACGGTAGACCAGCAAAGTATCATGTATGCCAGCATCATCATATATAAGAAATTGGTTTAAATCTTGAATAAATGAGAAAATCAAAAATGAACTGATTCTAAAAAATCACTGGTTTGCCACTATGATTATTCTTGCTGTTCCGGAAATGGTAGGAAAGCTCTAGTTGCAGCCCAAAAGGGAGATGTTTTCCATGCTTGGCCAAACAGACTTCATCTGTCTCTTCTTTAAGTTCAAGTTCATTTTTAACATGTTTTTCTTTACTCAGCTTCGCGTCTGTTTGTTTATTGTTAACATTGACAACAAAAATTAGCCCACTTCTGATTGCTCTAGAGATCTGAAATTTGGCATGCAGGCTATTTTTGCTTAACAATTTCAGATACAATCATAAAAACTAGCAATTAGAGACCTAAATTAGCTTAATTGAGTAAAGTACCAGTATATATATATATATATATATATAGTTATACGTGCGGGCGCTAACCTTATAGACGAGCAGGCGCTTACGCTGCGTATCATCGATACGTACGTCAAGTCAAGTAAATTGGCTCACAACAATGTTTTTCATGTGTAGCAACAGACTAAAAAGGAGAAAATAAAATAAAAAAAAAAATCTATTAAAAAAACATTTTTTTCTAGTGGACTAAAAAGTAGAAAATAAATTATGGCTCGCCCCAAAAAACGTGGGGTGGGTTATACATTCACATCAAATTTCCAAAATTTGTGTATTGTGTGCTTTTCGCTTTAATCATAAATCTGTCCGACACATGTATTTTGGGGCGAGCCATAATTTATTTTCTACTTTTTAGTCCACAAGAAGAACATGTTTTTTTTAAAAGTTTTTTTAAGTATTTTATTGAGTCCTATAAGTATATCAGTAAGTATCATGGAGACCAGCATTAATGCATTATCATATATTGATTTAAATCTTGAGTGAATGAGGAAATTGAAAATTAAATGTTTTCTTAAATCTTAACTTTTACCATAATGCTGATAACCTTGCCAGCAGCACCAAAGTCACCAGCCTTCAATCTAAATTACCATATATATTTTGTTAACAAAACTGAAGCTCATCTTTCTAGCACAACCAAAACAGCTTTGTAGTCATTGTTTTGTTATTGAACCTTACAAATCATAGCTCTGACCAGTATTTTTATATGGTATTTAGTGATAAGTGACAAGGTATGTGCAGTAGCCTTTCTGGAACTGTGAGATTTCTGCCAAATGAATTACATACCTCTGATCTTAATGTTGACAAAATTGCACAATCGGGCCACAAGATTCTAAATGTATTAAAAATTTGTCACATTGGAGCCGCAAGATTTCAGAAACAATTAGGAAAATTCCAATCCTGTGCAGCTGCTGCTGAGTGGTCACTTATGTGGCATTGATTGAAGTCATGGCTTAGAAATTTGATAAGCTTATCACAGCTAAGCTCATTAATATTATTATTTGGAACATTTGTTTTGTTTCATTTAAAATTTATTGTGATTTGCTAACTAATTTGTATGTCATGCATATGATTTAAAATTTATTATTTTTATCATTAAAATAAGAATTAGAATCTATACAATTGTTCAATATCAATTTCCAATTGATATGCATGCAAGCCACTCTGTCTCTTAAAAAGGCCAAAAATATTCATAAAGGGGTTTTGAAAGTTTTTGCTGCTTAGTCTGCTTATAAATTGCTCTTCTGATCCTTGGATATTTTTTTATTTAATTGGATATTTTTGTATGCATATTAAGATTTCACTGTATAGCAATTCAACATAAAAATTCTCTCGAATTTTCTTTGATTTTAGATAGTAAAAGTTGATTGATTGCTTTTTTCGGTTGAGTCATTGCTTTTGACATTTCAATATATAGTTTTTGATTTCAATTTCTAATTTTTAACATTTTTATTTTATGCATTTACCATTGCATTGTAGATATTTGCCTCTTAAACCTATGATAGATTTTGCTGATACAACTTTCAATAACATTTTGATTTACATGTTGAGGATTCCTTTTCTTAAATATGATTTTATTTACAGGCATGGAGGACCTAATTTTCTCTTCCATATTTGCTGAGCAAGCAATAAGCTCGGACAAGTCCTCGGGTGATGCCTTCTCTCCTGACCTTGATTACGACGTCTTCAAGGATGGCCTCCTTGACTGGCTGGAAGAGAACGGACCCGCGGTGAGTTGGGCTCCTGGGCCTATAATTTCAAAAAATATATAAAAAATCTCAAAAAAATTATCCACAACTTTCTATCGATTGATACAACTTTGAATTTATTTTCTGATAGTTGAACCCTACCAATCGTATTTCTGACCAAGACCTATACCTTAAAAAAAAAGTTAAGAGATCGTAAGTTCATCAGCCAATCATTGACGGCCTTTCAAGCAAAATCCACCAATCATAGACAAGAAAATAGAGCGTAAGTACTCACGTTCACTCAGCGAGTTTTGAAAGTAAGACCCCTGTTCTTCACCAGCTACTGGCTGTGCTGGGCTAGAACAGAGACAGAATGGCTTTGCAATGAATTTTGACTGCAAAGACTGAAATTTTGCTTGCCTCGTGAATATAAAATTTAATGCCTATATTACCGTATACATGTATGTATACATACTATGGGGGTTTGACAAAATAAGGGAAACGCCTGACCTTTTGATATCATAATTTTTGAACAGGGTATAAACAAAGATATTTTTCACCAACATTTTTGGTAAATGTTTTTGTCTGTAGCCTAACCTATCAATGGCAAACCTCTCTGACTTTGAAAGAGGCCAAATTGTTGATGCCTGAATGACAGATGCTAGTGTGATAGAAACTAGCCAAATGTTTGAAGTTTATAGAGGTATTCTCTCAAAAATAATGACTGCTTTCCATTGATTTCTCTCTATGGAAGAATCAACAGCCATTTTGGAGGACCAAGTTCATTCCATGGTTCAAGCACTGTTTCTGGAAGGGATCTTTTGAGATAATAATGCTCCAATCCATGCAGCTGGAATTGTTTAAAAAAAGGCACAAATAACATTCTAATGAAGTTGAGCATCTCATTTGGCCAACAAAATCACCAAACCTGAATGTTATTGAGCATTGATGGTCAATTTTAGAGATGCAAGTCAGAAGTCGATTCCTTCCGCCTTTGCCTTTGAAAGAGCTGGAATGAGTTTTAAGTGAAGAATGGGTTAAAATTCCTTTGGAAACAATTCACAATTTGTATCAATCAATACCTCGGAGAATTGAGGCTCAAATTGCTGCAAAAAGAAGGCATATACCAAACTAAAATATATTTGGTGGATTTCTTGAGTGTGTTTCCCTTCTTTTGTCTAACCCCCACATACATTTAGCATTTCAATCAAGAAAAATTTAGTTTCTTCAGGTTTGAGATCTCAATGGAAAATAGCTTTATTGATTAAATGAATTAACTTGGCTGTTTAAATATGAATGTCAAATGTCTTTGATAACAAAGTTTGATAAGAAAACTTAATGTTTGCTCTACAAAGTTATGGCTGCTGAATGACATTTGATATAATTAGGCATGTGTGAAAATTGCCTCAATTATATTTATATGCTTATAACAAAGAAATATTCTCCTGCTATGCATGTCTCTTCTTATCATTAGTCTATAAATCTCTATGCACATAGCCTGTGATTATCAATAGTACTAATGTACTTCATCCTCCTACTTGCATTATGTTCTCTATGTAGGAACCTCTATAGGAATCAAGTTTCTGCATTATTCAATTCTCATTTCCAAGTTTTTTTACTAATCAACATCACATATTATGTTTGCATCCAGCATAATTGAATAATTGTTTGATAATCATAATTGAATAATAAGTTTATGGCCTTACCACCTGCCTCAAGACGTGAGGGTGTCCGCAGACCCTGAGGCTCCACAGCGCCAGCGCTCTCACTCTGCAAGTATATTTCTTCACAGTTACTGGTTTGTATATTTAGGGTAGACTCCTTCATTTAAACATGTTATAATAATAATATAAATAATAATAATAAAGGTTTCAGCGTTAGTAGGCCATAGGCCTGTCGCCGATTCTTAACATCGCAGAACATTCACAGCATTTTGCGGTCTCGAACTCGCAACTCACTGCTGCAATTCTGTGCTTAACCGCCCGGCCTCCTCGCTGATTCTGCCCAGAAAATTGATGGAATTGTTTGGTTAAAAATAATGCCAGTTTTATTGAGGACTTCTTTTGAGTTTAATCTCTCAAGCTTTCTGACAAGAGGTACGGGTTTGTTTACATTGATGTGCATCTGTGACATGGTCATTATTATTATTGTTGTTGATTGAGGTTTCTCCTGATATGTTAATTATATAGACTTTGTTTACTGTTACTTTAAACTGCACATTGGATAAGTTGTATGAATGTTGCGTGTATAATTTTCCTGTGTTGCAGAAGTGATAAATGTTGTGGTGATCCAGAGTAACGCCAAGCATAGAATGTAACTTTTTTTTATTAATGAATAGTTCAAGTAGGTTGTTCAAGTTTTATACATGAATCATTCAAATATATATCTATATTTAAGTTTTATAAATGAAAAGTTCAAATATAAATATTTTTGTAAATGAATAGTTCAAATCTAAAGAATCAAGTTTTATAAATGTATAATTTTGCTGTATTGTAGAAATTGCAGGCTTGCAAATCTGCTGCTGAAACTGCAATATGAATGAGGATTTTTCAGTTTATTGCTTATTAATATTTTTACTAATATCTAAGTTGAGCACATCAATATGCACGGAAGCTAGAATTACTATCATTTGACAATTATTAACTCAGGTTAATTAATTAACTAATTGTATATATATAGTCATCAGCAATGCTATTAGCTTCTTATTGTTATAGGTACTCTTGTTACCAAACTCTTGATTGTTTTTCTTATAGTCAGTTTAGTGAGCTTGCTAAAACTATATAGTTCAATCCATTTTATAATCCATAATCAAATCTGTGTAATAATGTAATTAACATCAATTGACAATGATTATCGCAAGTTAATTAACCAATTTTCTCCATATAATTATCAGCAATGCTATTGCCTTCCTATCGGTCTTATTCTTAATTTTTTTCTTATAGTCAGTGCTAAAGCTCAAGTGCTAAAAGTTTTAGCTCAAGTGCTAAAACTATATAATTCAATTCATTTAAGAATTCATAAAGTATAATCTCTGTAATAATGTAATCTAGATAGCGGGCTCCAGGCAGCCTTGCAGGACCCGTCGTCTTCATTTATGAAGAACTTATCGCTGTGTTGTCTCCACAGGCCAACTCCAGCTCTCAGTTCCCTCTTCTGCAGGAGCTTGATGCTGACGCCCCTCAGGAGCCTCTATCCTCTGGGGACCCTGGCTCGACTATCACCTCTCCAGCCCCTCAGCTTCTTGTAAACAATTGCATTAGGACTGGTCATGGCTCTGACCTTAGTGTCAAGTCAGGTCATGCCTCTGACTTCAGTGCTAAGTCAGGTCATGCCTCTGACCTCAGTGTCAAGTCAGGTCATGCCTCTGACTTCAGTGCTAAGTCAGGTCATGCCTCTGATATAAATAACCCTGATGATATCATCAACCCAGGCACCTCTGAACTCAACTGCACCAAGAATCTCAATAATGTTAAGCTCTCCCTAAAGCAAAAAAACTCCTGGACTGAGAAGCGTACCAGTAATTATAGCCAAAACAATTCATCAGAAATTAAGATAACTTACTCAACTCTACCTCCCACCAAGCAGAGAACAGGACGGCGATCTAACACTGCCAGCACTGCTATCCCTGCGTCAGGCAAATGTCAGTATTGTGACTACAGTACAACACACAAGTATAACCTCAAAGTGCACATACAGCGCAAACATTTACCTAAGACATGTCATGATACTTCAACATCGCAGTTGAGTGATAACCCAGTTCAACTTCAGTACCCAGTAAATGGGACAGCGTCCACTGGTTCTTGGCATCAATGCTCACTGTGTCCCTACATGTCACGTAGCAAGTGGCAGTTGGCACGCCACACTCGCCGTAAACATGAAGCCGTAAAGCCCTTCAAATGCCCCCAGTGTCCGTACGCCTGCTCTGAGAACACGAAACTGACAGCCCACCACTTGAGTGTTCACACAGACTTGAAGCCATACAAGTGTATGCTGTGTTTGTTCTCAACATCAAACAAGATGAGTCTCAAGACCCACACAGCCGCCCTGCATGCCACGGACAAGCCCTACAAGTGTGAGCGCTGTCCCTTCTCTACGGGCGTGCTGAGCACCCTGAAGCGACACCTCCTCAGGAGCCATGGAGGCCAGGAGCTGCTGTCGTGTGGTGACTGTGAGTTCAAAACTTACTTCAGGGACGACCTGCGGAGACATCGTCTGCGGCGACATGTGCCCAGCAAACCTCATCGCTGTTTGTTGTGCGACTACACAGCAGCGGAACCCAGGGCCATCAAGCGGCACCTGCGTCGCATGCACCCCCAGCAGGAGGGAGGTGCTGGTGTGGGGGGGCAGTGACAGGCACCCCCAGCAGGAGGGAGGTGCTGGTGTGGGGGGGCAGTGACAGGCACCCCCAGCAGGAGGGAGGTGCTGGTGTGGGGGGGCAGTGACAGACACCCCCAGCAGGAGGGAGGTGCTGGTGTGGGGGGGCCGTGTTGAACAAAAGCTTCCTCATTGCAAAATCAAATCCTAAAATTTTAATGCGTTCCTTCATATTCAATTAATATTTCAATTTGATGCATACAAAATCTTATTCACCATAGGAAATAAAATCGTGATGGAGAAAATTTATTTGCTAAATTGTATATTTTATTTGTGTTAAAAATGCTATATTGTGGGAAGATTTTCCTGTTATTTCCTCTATTCTAAAATGTAACTATAGTTACACTGTCCCAAGTGCCAGTATAGTGAGAGTGTCTTAGAGTCAAGCCTTAACATAAATATTATGGTTTACTTACGCTTAGCAATTAAGGTTAACTTAGTTAATTAAATAAATTACTGCGAGTGTGCAATTTCTTCCCACTTCACAGTCCTGAACATTTTATAGTAGACAAATATGTTACACTTGTGCTATCTGTTGTACTGCCATCATTAGTAATATGTACCTACTGTCGTCTACTGTTACTATAACTTTCATCTACTGTTATTACTGTTACTACCATCTTGTGGTACATATGTTGCACTTGTGCAAGCTGTTGTATTGCCATCATTAGTACATTAGTTATATGTACTGTCATCTACTGTTACTATGACTTTCATCTACTGTTATTACTGTTACTATGACTATCATCTACTGTTATTACTGTTACTATGACTATCATCTACTGTTATTACTGTTACTATGACTATCATCTACTGTTATTACTGTTACTATGACTATCATCTACTGTTATTACTGTTACTATGACTATCATCTACTGTTATTACTGTTACTATGACTATCATCTACTGTTATTACTGTTACTATGACTATCATCTACTGTTATTACTGTTACTATGACTATCATCTACTGTTATTACTGTTACTATGACTATCATCTACTGTTATTACTGTTACTATGACTATCATCTACTGTTATTACTGTTACTATGACTATCATCTACTGTTATTACTGTTACTATGACTATCATCTACTGTTATTACTGTTACTATGACTATCATCTACTGTTATTACTGTTACTATGACTATCATCTACTGTTATTACTGTTACTATGACTATCATCTACTGTTATTACTGTTACTATGACTATCATCTACTGTTATTACTGTTACTATGACTATCATCNGCCTCTGATACTCATTCCTTGGACGTCGGCTGCTAGCCAGAGATGTTTGGAGCTTGCTTCTATTTTTTTTTTCTAATTACTCTATATTATTTTAATAAAGTTTTTGCAGTGTATAGTTTTTTCATCCTGCATAGAACGATTTATTCCTGACCAGTTATGTAGAATCGTAATGATCGTGCAACGATGAACGTGTGAACTTTTATCCTTATTTATGAAAGTCAATAGATGTATTGTCATGTCATCTGATCTGCAAACGAAAGATTTATATTTTTTAGCAGAATTTATTTGAGAATTTTAACGGGCGAACTAACAGAGACGCTCGACTTATCCTTTGAGAAAATCTGAGTGTCTTGTAACGCCGATGCAACGGACAGTTGATATGCTGCAAGATGACAATATTAATAAACTTTGTAAAGATGCTGCAATATGACAATTTAAATAAGAACCGTAGAGGTGCTGTAAGACAATATAAATAAACACCGTCCAAATGGAACGGAATAGTGACGTAGTTTCAAGCGAGTGACGTTTTATTAGTCATTGAAGCTCAGTGTTGTTTGAGTGCACAAGTTAGGAGGTCTCGCTGAGCCTAGCGTTATCCTACCAGCAGATCCTGGAAATCTGATAACCTCGATCTTTCTTATCCCGCAAATCTTAAAATAACGTATTTCTCGAACTGTAACGTCCTTGTAAATTTGTAATCCTTAACTTTAGAGCCTAAAATTACTTTGATTTTCCGATTTCTGGGTTAAATATAGTTATTATTTGGAAATTGAATTTTACTATTTTAAAATAATTTGATTTTTTCACCCGCTTTTCAATTCATTTTAATCTCATAATTTCACAACTGAAAATTAATTTCTGGCAGGCCTGGTAATATTTAGACAGGACAAGTTGTGGATAAGCTTTCGAATATCTCCAAAATATTTTCAGTGCCAAAATCCATAAAATATATAATAGATAATGCCATCGTCACTATTTGCAGCTGTCACTATCTGCGATGGTGTTTCTTTGACGTCTCGGACAAATTTACGGCCGGTATCCAAGTTCAATGATCAAGGAATGTTTTCTTTTGGAAAGGACGGCAGGACCTCATGTTGGATGCTCTTTAAGGCTTTAACGCAATAAATTCCACAATGAAAATTTATAGATAGATAGTCAATTTAATGCTATAAATCCTGTTATCAATCATCAGTACTTATACATTGATTTGTTGTACAATTTACAGTAATAAGCTGGAAACCTATAACTTCAATCCCCCATAAAAATTTTAAAATAAGAAAATCATCAAATGTTTTAGTACGACTCCGTAAATGTTTTCTTTGATCCCGCCATAGAAAACGAAAGTTTTTGGCAAATACTTTTTTTTTTACAAAGGTCGTTCCCTGCGAGCTGCGGGTTTCCCGTTAAAGGCAGGCAGGTGGAGAGTTGATCTTTTGGAGAGCAGAAAGGAAATGCCTGGACTTCTTCCCTCCTTGACCTGAAGAACGTGACGAATTAATGCATATCACACGTTAAATACGGCCTCTGCGATTAGGCCTTTAATATTACCAGTAGTGTGATATGAAGGTTTACTCAAGCGAGAAATTACGTCAACGGAAATTAAAACTATTGACATCTGACTCGTTAATCAATCAAAAACTTGTCGGTTGGAACAGGACTCATTCTATCAGAAATCTTTTACGCTATTTACTAGGAGAGATCAGCTGTATCGGCAGACGCCGTACCTACATCTAGGGCAAGGAAATAAAAATTATGAACTACTGAAACATAAATGATTAAGCGTAGAGAACGATTCGAATATGAATGATCACTGAAATAATTGATGATTCGTGATTTACAGTTAATGATGCAATAACTTGCTTAGAAGAAAGAACACACCAGTCACTCTTAGGTCATTGCCATGACATGTGGAACTAATTGTGACTTTGCTATAGTAACTCAGCCCTTAGAAAACTCCGCTATTATTCCTTTGTCCGGATTGTGACAATGCGCATTGCCTCATTGCCATTGTCGGCAACACAAACTTTTACCTGCCAGTGTGCTGCCTTCATTACAGAAATTTCTGGATCAACAAATATCGACGAATGATTCGTCTTTTGCATACATATAATCTAACATTCTTGGAAAAGTATGTAAAGATCATTATCTGATGAATATCATTAACTCAATCAGTTGAATAATATTTAGGAAGTTTCCATCACACTTCCAAGGACATAACATGGAAAGGTAGCCAGAAATATTTGCGTTAGCCCTACCCTAATCTCTGTGACCGACTGCCCCAAGAGTCAGTGTGGCCACTGGCATTGTAGTGAGTGGTTGTGTTGCAAAACATTCTCCGTAACTCCGTCACAGAAGAAACGCCTACCTCGTTCTAGGAAGCTTGTAACCAAGCCCTCTCACATCTCATGTTTCTGGGGCATTTATTTAAGCTCAATTAACATCATACACTATTATTTTACCACCAGAAAATTTATTATCAATAAAGACTCCTCATACGGCGTTTCAATGTCAAGACAGCGTTGGTCAGTCCACGCTAAGTCGAAAAAAAAACAAATCAGAAAAACTAAGCCGCGTCGAAGCGCACACAGAAAACCTCGTGTTGAGGTCCCTGAACTTTACCTGTCCAAAACTCTGCCTCTGGAACAGAGGCTCAGCAACATGGCCGCTCATGAGACGATTAAATATTAAATATGCACGCATTTTAGTTTCAATACTAGCGAGTTGCTCTGATTTACGGCATGGGAAATGCGAGGCGTTCATTGGTAAAATAATGAACTGTGGCCTCAGTAGTGAACTGTGGCCTCAATAGTGAACTGTGGCCTCAATAGTGAACTGTGGCTTCAGTAGTGAACTGTGGCCTCAATAGTGAACTGTGGCTTCAGTAGTGAACTGAGGCCTCAATAGTGAACTGTGGCCTCAATAGTGAACTGTGGCTTCAGTAGTGAACTGTGGCCTCAGTAGTGAACTGTGGCCTCAGTAGTGAACTGTGGCCTCAATAGTGAACTGTGGCCTCAACAGTGAACTGTGGCCTCAACAGTGAACTGTGGCCTCAACAGTGAACTGTGGCCTCAATGCAGTGACGCATTATAACGCGTGCATTTACGCATTTAATTTTTAAAACACTTCTCTTTAACTTCACTTATTAACTTATTAATAAGTGAAGTTTCTCTTATTAATAAGTTAATTTAATATAATAATAATAATTATTTCTCTTATTAACTTATTGTTTGTTTGCTTGTCTGTCTGCTACAAATCTTATAATAGATATTTAACACACTTCTACCTGTCAAATCGATCTGAAATTTTGCACACTTGCGTACAGTCGGAGACAATTCATGAGTCAATTGAGAGAATAAATAATTTTGAAAATTTAATTTTTTATATATTAAAAAATTTAAAAATTAATTTTTTAATATTTGAAAAAAAAAATTGAAATTCATTGTACGTGTGTAACATCGGAGACACTGGCCTCTTAAAGAGTTGACTTAAAAAGTAATTTTTAAACGTATATTATTACCATTATTTATCCTTCTGTTTCAGGTTCTTTATTGTTAAGTTTTTAGTACTTAATTACTCTGGGACAACAGATCTGATAATTTATATGCATATCGATATAACGTGATTCATTTTTTATTGGTCAAGTTCTGAAGAGTGGCCGACATGTCGGAACAGTTCCCGACAAGCACCGCTGTCCCGACAGCCATCATCCCGACGATCAGCGGGGCGCTGGTCCTTGCCATGGACCCGCCAGGTCGGGCCGACGCTCCCGACACGGTACACGTCGGGCGCGGCCGACGGCTTAATTCAAAACATCGTCGGCGGAGGAAATCGTCAGGAGATTTAAGAAGAGCCGAAACCTTAGCGTGTACTGGAGAACTTAACCCAAGAGGGGTCAATTCAATGAATGAATGTCAACCCTGCAGGGTTGAAGGAACCAACAACAGCGTCCCAGCTCCTAGTTCACGCGTGGTTGCACAAACTAGCTTATACCCTGACGTACAAAGTTCTTTTCCACTCGTAGACAGCGTTCATAATCTGTCACCTTCAGCTAATGAGAGACAACATTGCCCTGTATCACATTGGCAAGGTTCTATTCCATCAGTTAATAGACTTCTTCCGTCCATCAATTCCACCTCAGTGTCTTCAAAGTTAGACTCGGGATTTTCAGATTTAAATTCATTTTCGATTCCAGTTGCCAAAACCGGGTTCCCCGTTGGCGATCCCAACCTCTCTCCTCCTACCCAAGGGTCTTTCGAGTCTGTGATTCCTTCTACTCATAGTAGGATTAGCAGTAGAGTTAGTAGTAGTGTTAGTAGTAGGATACAACGTATGGCAGATAGGGTGAATAACAACAAAAACTGTCGTTTGTTTCTTTGGTTTATGTCGGTATTGTGCGCTGCGAACATTGTATTCTTCATCCTCGCGTACGACAAGGTGGTCGAAATGGTTGCTGTTAGCCAGTTGGCACTACACGAGTCCGGAGCCAAGTACGAAGCCTGGACGAAAACGCCGATGCCAGTCTATTATAAGGTGACCATCTTCAACCTGACCAACCATGAAGAGTTCATGGCTGGGGAGAGACCACGGTTACGAGAGATAGGGCCTTACGTTTATAGGATGATGGACGAAAAGGTGAATGTAACATTTCACGATAATGGCACTGTTACGTACAGAACTAAACCTACATACTTCTTCGAACCTGACCTATCTGGCGGCACGGAGGACGACAAACTATACACTGTCAACATACCTCTCGTAAACGCAGCTGATGCCGTCAAGGACAGTCCCTTTCTGAAGACGATCATCCAGTACGCTGGGATCATCCACAACTTTGAAACCATACGACACTTGACCGTCATGGAGCTCTTGTGGGGCCACACGTCCAAAGTTCTGGACTGGGGGCGCCAGTTTCAGGACGTTCCTTACCCGCATCTGAAGTTTGGGCTGCTCGCAGGTTTCAACAACTCAGCCCAAGATTCTTACACGATGTATACGGGGGTGAACAACCCTGAGAAAATGAATTTTATTCATTCCTGGAACGGTCGAACCAAACTGAACTTTTGGGAGGGTGAATCCTGTAATAGAATTTTTGGGACAGATGCTGGTGGGTTCAGTCCGGGCGTCAAACCATCAGACGAACTGTGGATTTTCAACGGTCAACTCTGCAGGAGCATCCCGTTGGTATACCAGAAGACCGTGAACCGGGGTGGTATCAACGCCTTCCGGTTCGTGCCTCCGAGAAACGTTTTCAGTTATGGACCGAAGAACCCCCAGAACTCCTGCTACTGCTCCCAGGGGCGCTGCCCTCCCACTGGGGTCCTGGACATGAAGCCCTGCTACTACGGAGCGGCCATCGCTTTCTCCTTCCCGCATTTCTACCAAGCGGACTCCACCTTGCGGCACATGGTCCGGGGACTCAGGTCAGTTGATATTGTTAACTACAATGGCCTAATCGGCCCTGGTCTCACTGTTTACATTGTGGTTTATCCCGCACATCCCTCACAAATTACAGTTATTTATGTTCACATTATTGAAAATTTTTATGTTTACATTTTATTTTTATTTTGTATATTTGAATATGTCCATTTCCCCGCCAGTTGCTCTTTGATCTACTCTATTTTTCTTCTTCTTATCTTTTAGGCGCATTCCACGCATTTGCTTCAAAATTTATTGCATTAATTACTAACATTTACATCATTTGAATTCAACGCAAATTGATTAAATAAGGAAAATTAGTTAACTCTGCTTATTATTAACTGGAGAAAATTTGTTACGTTAACGAAGGTTACGCCAATGCCGGTTTCCGGGTAGAACGAGGAATCCGCAGCCTTGTATGAATATTCTTGTCGAATTCGTCATAAGAAATTTAACTAAAAAAATTGAATGCTAGTATCATGCTGATCTAATAAATATGTGGCATGACTGCACGTGAGATAAAGGAAGCGTCTTGAGTAGTCTTATCAGAGCCGCTATCAGCGATAGTGTCACGATAGGCAGAGGACGAGCCAGTCCAACGCTGGTCAGGGTGAGGCTATCAAGTGTCCCTTCTATACCGCCGTGGCATCACGAAACTAGTGCATAATGGTAACAAACTGTTAACTATTACCATTGCATATAAACTGAACATCACCACTCTTGCACCAACCATAAGAATAACGTTTTACAATACAGAATACAACCGTCTTGGTTGTATTCTCCAAGAATACAACCATCTTGCTTCAATACCTAATAGTGTGTTCATGTGCTGAAGATAATAATAGGTACTCTAGCCCGAGTGATGATGCTAGTGCTCACTGCTCAAAGAATAGGTACTCTAGCCCAAGTGATGCCGGTGCTAAATGAATACTAGCCTAAGTGATGATGTAAGTGAAAAAATAATAGGTACTCTAGCCCGAGTGATGCAAGTGCTAAAATAATAGGTACTCTAGGCCAAGTGTTGTGCTAAATCATCACTTATGTCATGCCTGCACCCCGCCATTTCAAGGTAGACCGTCTGCCCAGCAAACACCGCGTGCAATAAGGTATCAGAGGACGGGGGAGACGTGGCACTAGATGTGTTTTGTTCATAAGATCATAGAGGAGAACAGTGAACCGCACACGTTTGTCGGCACTCAAATAAAATAGCTTCTGCTGTCCGTTCAAATTATGTTCTAGGTTCAGTGTGTTCACAATTTTAATTTTCAATGTAAGCCGATCCAATACACGACTGAAAAGAGAATTATTAAATAATTAATCATTTCCATTATCCGCATAATAACGATCACTTACTGCCTCGTATTGAGCACAATCAACGGACAAAAGCCGATCCAATGCACGCGTGAAAATATTATAATTATTAAAAAAAATTAATCATCAACATTATCCGCATAATAACGATCACTGATTGCCTCTTATTGAGCTCAATCAACTGATAATAAATAAGTGATGGAAGGTGAAGGCGACGCTCTGCTGACCGAGGGGCAGCTGCAGAACAAACCCCACCCTACCCGGAGGAACCTTCCTCCTGTGCCCCATATACCCAACAAGCGGTCCCGCTGCCGACGATGCTGCTGCAGCAAAACCTGCTCCATCATTGGCTTTATTCTATCGTTGACTCTTGGACTGACGGTTTACTTCACGCCCTATTTCGAGGAATCTGTGAACGTCTTCGTCTTAGGGCAACTACCCTTACGAGAAGGTTCTGTGCGAGCCTCCATGTGGATGTCGGGCAACCCACCTCTACTGTACCGTATGTACGTTTTCAACTTGACTAACCCGCGTGAGTTTCTGGCTGGTGGTCTACCTCGGGTGAGAGAGTTGGGGCCTTTCACTTACGATGTTTCTGAAACCAAAGAGAATGTCGTCTTCAACGGCAGCACTGTCACGTTTCAGTCTAAGCCGCTGTTCAAATTCAGAAGCGACTTGTCTGTACCAGGAGGAGAAGATATTGTGGTGCACACTTTGAACATCCCTCTTGTGAATGCGGGGGAAATGACCAGAAATATACCGCGGTCCTTTGGTTTTTTCCGAGATGTTCTTTCCTTTGAGAGCATTCAAAAATTGACTGTTAAGCAACTACTATGGGGGTACAACTCGCGTTTGCTGAACGTCGCTAAGAAAGTCCAAAACATCCCATACCCTTACGACCATTTCGCGCTGCTAGCTGGTAGAAACTACACCCTGCAGCCAGTCACTACCATTGACACCGGCGTCGACAACATCAACTCTGTGAACCAAGTTCTCTCCTATGACTGGCCTGGACCAAGGCAAGGATGCAACGCAGTTTTCGGAAGTGACGGATCGGCTTTTGGACCAAAAATCAACGAGTCAAGCATCTTGTTCATTTACAACGGGCAGTTCTGCCGGTCCCTGCCATTGGTTTTCTCCAAGTTCTTAGTAGAAACTCAGGGGTTGAGGGCAATGAGGTTCACGTTGCCCCAGGATGTCTTCAGCTACTCGGATGAAAACGGACAGCAAACTGGGACTGATTTCGGCAATTCACGGTACAGAAAATACCTCGCTCATCGAACACCGTCTAGAACTCCATCATCCGACGGCTCTGGAACTTCATCAGGAGATACTGGTTCTGAATTTAAAGTAAACCTATCGTCAGGAAGAATTCGGTCCCGCAACCTCAACCGAACCCAACCTCCCGACAACCCCTTCTTTCAACGCCCCGACACGAAGCCCTACCCCGTCTGGCTGGACGACGCCAGCCTCCGCTCTTCGAGCCAGCGCTTGAAACGCTCAAAAAGGGCAACCGGCTCACCGGAACCCGGTTATGTCTCGACAAAATCCAGTTTAGAATCTCTGGAACCCAATTTGCGCACCCTAAAGCGCAGTTTAAGGAATGTAGAACCCGGTTCCATGCCTTCAGAACCCGGTTCCTTGCCTTCAGAATCCGGTTCCATGCCTTCTGCAGAACCCGGTTCCATGCCTTCTGGACCGGGCTCCAGAGAGTCCAGTTACAAGGCGGTGTACGGAGGAGACAACAGGTGTTTCTGCGACGAGGGCAGGTGTCCTCAGGACGGTATATTGGATATGAAGAAATGCATTTTTGGGGCGCCTGTGGGGTTCTCCTTCCCCCACTTCCTGCATGGGGACCCCACGCTGGGGCACATGACGCGGGGGTTGAGGTGAGGAATCTGGGGTCAGAAATTGCGTTGATGATCAATAACTCGGGATCATTGGGGGACATATTAATCCTCGCTATGAATAATAACATTGTGACTATTTAGGTAGGAATAACATTTGGACAATTTAGGTAGGAATATGGGGCTATTCAGTTAGGAATAACAATGGGACTATTCAGTTAGGAATGGGGGACTGATCAGGTAGGAATAGCATAGGGACTGACCAGGTAGAAATAACATTGTAGCGAGTGTGTAGCGTGTTTATATCGTTCACACAAACGCCCGCTGTGTGCGCGTTTGTTTAGAGCGCCACTCAGCCTTGATGAAGTGCACGCCTCACCACCACCGACGCGCCAGATATCCCATATATTAATTAAATTTTTATCTAATGATCATTGATCAACAAATATACAATTAAAATATCATATATATTATATAATATTATCATATATATTATATTGTATTATTATTAATAATACATATATTAATATAGTGCCTGTCTTAGAAATGTAAAAGCGAAGAAAACGCCACAAACGCTCAGCATATCTCATATTATATTATATTATATTATATTATATTATATTATATTATATTATNTTAGTTTAGTTTTAGTTCACGATTTAATATTCCGAGCACGCGACTCGGGAGATGGCCTGAGCGCTGTGGATGGCCACATGGCGCTGTGGCACGGCCACGTGGTGCTGTGGCACTGCATGTGGCGCTGTGGCATTGCCATGTGGTGCTGTGGCACTGCATGTGGCGCTGTGGCATTGCCACGTGGTGCTGTGGCACTGCATGTGGCGCTGTGGCACTGCATGTGGCGCTGTGGCACTGCATGTGGCGCTGTGGCACTGCATGGGGCGCTGTGGCACTGCCACGTGGTGCTGTGGCATTGCCACGTGGTGCTGTGGCATTGCCACGTGGTGCTGTGTCACGGCCACGTGGTGCTGTGGCACTGCCACGTGGCGCTGTGGCACCGTCTTGTGGCACTACCGATATGCTCAGCGGCTGACAATCAAACAATCGGTCGGCACGTAGGCTCGGCCAACGCTGAAAAAAAACGCAAACCGCTTCTTGCTCACAGCTTCCCCATTCCTCCCCTCTCTCCCTCTCCTCTCCTCTTCCCTCCCTCATCCCTCTCCTCTCACTCCCCCTCATTCCATTGCCCGGTTGTACCGTAACATATGCCACTAATGCCACTGATGCCATTTATGGCAGTGGCACAGTTTAGGAGCTGCGTCGTGCCTTGGAAATGAGCCACTGACGTCACACATCTGGCAGCGACTGTACAACACAAGCAATAACTTCTGTATAGTTTGATGAATAAATAAAACTTTATTATTTTATTTCATTTATTTATTTTATTATTTATTTCAAATTTTTATTTGTTTATTTTAAACTTATTAATTATTTTAAATTTATGTATAATAAACAAGTAGCTTTAATATTACTTGTATCAGGAAAATCCAATATCGTGAAGAGCTCTAGAAGGAAATATGCATCGATAATCAGAGATTTTTTATCATAATCAGGACGACATCACATTAGGTCCCGCAGGTCCCGCCATCACCTCAGGTCCCGCCATCACCTCAGGTCCCGCAGGTCCCGCCATCACCTCAGGTCCCGCCATCACCTCAGGTCCCGCAGGTCCCGCCATCACCTCAGGTCCCGCAGGTCCCGCCATCACCTCAAGTCCCGCAGGTCCCGCCATCACCTCAAGTCCCGCAGGTCCCGCCATCACCTCAGGTCCCGCAGGTCCCGCAAGGTCCCGCAGGTTGTGTGATCGTCTTCATCGTCGCGCACGTCGTAAAGTTTTTCCTTCTTTTTTTTTTCGTGTGCGCGACGCGCAGCGCTCGAGCACAGCGATGAATTCCTGCGAATGACTTCGCGTCAGCGGCAGCCTGCGCGCTTCACTAGCTCCTTCTTTCACTTTATTTTAGACTTATACCTCACTTTTGATTTTCTAGAGTAAATATTTATGCACTTAAGCGCCTACATAAAGTAAAATAATCTAAATTATGATATCATTTTCTAACGTCTGTCCCTCCCACAGACCCGACCCTCACTAGCACAACTAACGTCTGTCCCTCCTAAAAGGCCCGACCCACGCTGGCACTTCTAACATCTGTCCCACACTAGCACAACTAACGTCTGTCCCTCCCACAGACCCGACCCTCACTAGCACATCTGACGTCTGTCCCTCCCACAGACCCGACCCACACTAGCATTCTAACGCTTGTCCGTCCCACAGACCCGACCCTCACTAGCACATCTAACGCCTGTCCCTCCCACAGACCCGACCCTCACTAGCACATCTAACGCCTGTTCCTCCCACAGGCCCGACCCACACTACTATTTCCTCCCACAGACCCGACCCTCACTATCACTTCTAACGTCTGTCCCTCCCACAGACCCGACCCGGCCAAGCACAGCACGGAGTTCGACATCTTCCCCGACCTGGGCATCCCGCTGCGGGTGAAGTTACGCATGCAGATGAACGTCGTGCTGGACCAGAACCAAGCGCTGAGCCGCGCCCGTCACTACGACCTCATCTATCCCATCTTCTGGTTCGAGGCTGGCATTGATAGCCTGCCCCCCAGCCTCGTCGGTAAGCTTCAGATGGCACAGGACCTGCCGCCCCTCATGAAGCAGATCTTCGTCGTCGTTTGCGGGGTCCTGACTGTCGTGTTCCTGGTGCTCCTGATGGCGCAGACCTTCGTGGGGTGGTGCAGTAGCGGCCTGAGCAGCCTGCGCAGTCGTCGCAGTAAAGACAGCAGCAGCAATGACACAATAACGACCACCCCTGAGTCTGATCATTCACTCCCGGCACCTGATCACCCAGAGATCGGGTTCCCCCAAACTGGATGCTACACATCGTTCGCCAGCCCCCAGCTCTCCTCTAGCGACGTGCCTGACCAGCTCATCGACAGCCACACACTCTTGCCGCCCTACAAAACCTCCGCACGACTCACTGCTCCTGACTCAGCCGACGCTTGCACAATAGTCGGCAAGAGGAAGCTGGTGGGCACAAACTCCTTGTTGGGGGAGGGCAGCGTGACACCCGAGCCCTCTGAAGCTCATAACTTGTACCCACCCGAGTACAGCTCTGTGGTTGCCCTCAGCTCTGTTGAACGGAGCGATTCTTCCCGGTCCTCCAACTCCTCTCTGAACTCCGCAGAGGTGCACCAAACGGCGCCCTCGTTTGCAGTTACCAACATCAGCGCCCCCAACGAAACAGGTCGAGTCGTCAGTTGTCAGCCTGATACACGCCACTCACGTGCCCAAGCGAACCTGACAACGGCCACGCAAGTCAGCAGAAGTCAGGTGCCGACGATGGACCCAAGTTCCCCCAGTTACACAATGGAACACAAGCCCATCTTATCTGTCCCTCGGATTGTCCAGGAATCATTGAAAACAAGTGCACCGTTGGCCTCACCGGAAGCCCCAGATGACGACCATGACGGAGTGAGTGTTGCCCCGTCTGCCCCAGGGTGCTGCTCAAAAATCAGTGATCCTCTCGCCACGTCTTCCCCTCATGTCACCCTGGAGGATATCCCCAAACCCTGCCATGATGACGGTGTTGCATACCATTCCCCTCCGCCCCCAGGGGCACGTCACCTCGGGGGAGTTGACAGTATGGCTGGACAGCCTCTCGTCTCATCCCCAAGTGGCGGGGCCGTCAGCTCTAGACCCCAAGCTCCTCCCCACCTCGCCCCACCACTTGAGTCTGATCTCTGATGGGGGCTATCAGCAGCTAGACCAGCCATCACTGACGTGGTAGTGATGACGCGTTCTGGTGACATGTGCCTCAACATAACCTATATGTATACGGTCAAATCTTTGCGTTAATTTTATATCTCTTACGGAGACATTAAAGGAGCCATGAGTTTAAGTGAACAAACAAATTACGATGGAGCTTCGAAGTTCGAACTAAAACATTACATAAGTTGTCTACTGCTGCCAAAACTGGAATTTTGTGCCAAATTCGTGTTCCTAATCTTAAATCTGTCACGTGTTTCAATATTTTCGACGCATGTTCTTTTTGAAGACAGACTCGTTCATTTCTTTTTACGTCCTGACATTAAGTCGTGTTTTTTTTTGTGGTTAAAAACGCAGACGAGAAACTCGTTGCCGTCTCAGAGATGGCTGGATCCATTATCGTCTATAGCTTTATTATCATCCATCGCTTTTTGTTCTATTGGAAGTTTCAATTTAGTTTCTTCATGACTGGCTGCTTCTTATCTTATCATGTAGTATCAAAAATTTTGATGAGCTCACGCTTTATTTAACATAACATAACAAAATGTCTATATAACATAACATAACATAACATAGTGATGTCGGCGCTGCAGAGTAGGCCTGATGTGGCCTGTCGCCGATTCTTGTACTTGTCGTGCCTTGTTCACAGAAAAGAAATATTTCACGGCTGCTATGTACACCATCACAACCACAGTAAACATGTGTAATAGTTTACTGCGTTGTATCTCGTTAATGGCGCAGGGACCCCGAAAGAATTTCGAAGAAACACTTAGATTCAGATCCGCATTCAGATTTTGATTTTGACTTTACGTCCTTGTCCTCGCCGTATTGGTACCTACGTGAAATCGACACTTTTAGACCCACTTTCGTACTTCCAGCCCTGCTACGAAGATGAAATTTTGGCCCATAATAGAGCCTGATTTTAGATTGACGAATCAAAAGTCGGATCCCCAAAATTCCCCATGGGGAAGACACAAATCCCCAAAAACGAATAATTTTTTCAAAAATTCACCAAAAATCAGCCGTTGCTTGCACGCGCCTCTATCTTGGCTCCTTTTCTTCTCATTGGTTGGGGCA